CTCTCTCTCTCTCTCTCTCTCTCTCTCTCTCTCTCTCTCTCTCTCTCTCCCTCTGTCTCTCTCTCCCTCTCTCTCTTTCTCTCTTAACGCCGACAAAGCGAGACTGTTGGCGAGCGCAGTCTCGCCTCTCTCAGAACAAGTCTTGCTTCCCCGGAGTCGCCGTTGTTCGTCAAACCGTAAGCGTCGTAGACGAGCCCCGTCCAGAACTCCCCGGTCCGCGAAACGTTGCTTCAGCTTAGATATTTTCGGCATGCTGCTGTATCTCTAACCTCTCTGCTCCCGTTCGCGGTGCCCGTCGCTTATTCTACACTCAATCATCGCTCAAGGCCAACCCCATGGGCATGATCGACCTCGCCGCGTTCATGGGTCTGGAGTGTTCCGAAGACCAGGCCCGTAACGTGTGGGAGTCTCACCAGAATGCCATACCTCACGGCGACTACACCACTCACGGGCTCCAACTGGGCACTATCGAATGGATGAACGCCACCATGGCTAGCCTTCTCCCCACGGCAGTGTCGCTTCACTGGGGACTTACCCCGACCGACACCTGATACTGCCGTTCTTCATGCAAACCTTCTTTTCGGCGACAGCAGGCGTGAGGAAGGAAAAGCAATATGCATGGACGCACAGACAAACACGCATATATAAAGAGGGCTGGTGCGACCAAATGGCTGCACCGAGACCGTTCACGCTTCGTGGTGGTAGCGTACATGGCATACCTCTCTTGCCGTGGACGCCTTGAGCAGAGCATGGTCTGGGTTGTTATTCGAAACTTTGATATTGATGTTGGTCTAGGTTGTTATTGAATACGCGTGTACCTGAAATTTTGGGCAGGTGTCCGGTAGAGGTTTCGTACAAAGGCAACATTAGCGCAACGACAGCTATAACATCAACACTAACGGCCCTGATTGGTTTAAGACGTAGAAAGTACAAACGTATTTGATGTGTGGTGTTTGGAACCGCTGTTTTGCTCTTCTGCCTATCAGAAAAGCATGGGGTCTCTCAAATGCTTCCAGGGTTTCGCTGCTTCGAGGTATTCTCTCTGGTGTACTCAACAATACATAGATATAATCTACAGATTCGGAAATCTTGGGTTGTGTAGACTTTGTTGGTATGTGTTTGTAGAAGGGTGATTCCCCTTCTGCCTTCAAGCATGGCCTGTGCACTCGTAAAGATCAAGGCCCCGAGTCAAGCTTTACTGCTCAAAACCTTTGACGGTAAGCACCCGTTACCCAGCAATTTTGCCTTGGGAGATGGATCTGATGCCTTGGGGGGTCGGAACTTTTGCGGTAGCTGTTGTGACGATATGGAAACCACGAGTGAAAGCAGCAGAGACAGCGGCAAAGGTAACGACAGCGAGGGAAGCTGCAACGGAACAGCAGCGGTGTGCGGGATCGACGACGGCGGCAGTGATGTTACCTTCTGCGTGGAGGAGCCGTCCTGTGGTGAGCGGGGAACGGGTCCACTTACTATTTTGATCCCGGCACCGCGTTTCCGTACGTGTTTGAATTTCCTGGGAAGCAAAAGCGGGCGGGCTATTGGAAGTAATTTCCTGCATGTGCTAGAGCGTTACTACCGGAGAAGATTTTAACTGATGTATTCGGACGGGCTCTTTACTCATCAGTAGAGACTGGTTTTGCTATTATTGATGCATTTTGGAGGAAGAATGACATGTATGTGCTGATGATGATAAGCAATGGTTGGGGCCTATGTACTCTCCGAAATGCTTATGATTCTCTATTGGCCGTCAGTAAGTTGAAACCTTGTTTTCGTTTTAGGGATTTGTTCAAGTGGCGGAAACAAGTCTGCAGGAAGGTTGAGTTCATGGACAAAATTTCTGAGGATAATTCTTGTGTTTGGGCATCTTTAAAAGTACTGTTATTATGGTGTTTGGAGGTAGCCATGTGATGGTATGCCGCCTCTTTGTTCTGTTGGCTCCATTACTCCCATTCCCTGGTGCTACTGGTACGTTACCCTTTTTTTTTCCTAATATCACAGAACAAATCCATCTCTATATAGAAATAAGTCTAAGATAGATTAGCAATGAAGCTACCCTTCGATATTTTTTAGGCGGGTGTGGGAAGCGTCTTCCTTTTTATTTTTGAATAGTTTTTTCTAAAGAGAAATGGCCCGGTAGGGACGCTTATTGCTTTTAAAAAACAACTGTTTAGAGGGGGGAGCAAAACGGGCTCAAGTAAGTCCGTCTGTCTGTCTGTCTGTCTGTGACCAGCCTTGATATATTACCCAGCAGTTTCCAGCCCATTTCACCATCTCGGCACCAAATTGCAATCTAAGACGTGTTCACAACAACTAATATTTTGCCCGAGCTGCCCCAACTGCTACCTTTTCAATCCGTGCTCGGTGCATCGAGAGAGTGCAGCGTCGGTACCCAACTTGAAGCAGGGAAGTTTCTGGCCCCTTGCAGCACCGAGAGGAGGCGTCGTTTGATTTTGAACCAAGACAAATAGCCTCGCACACCACACACCACACACAAACACAGAGCCAGACATGGACAAACAGGGAGCGGGAGACACAGACCACAGCGAGGGCGAGACGGCGGGAGAAGGGTGTGCCATACACTGCTGCTGTTAGCTATCGGCGGAGGAAGCGAGAGGGGAGATCAACATTTGGTTGCAGCAGCAGCAGCAGCAGCAGCGGCCTCTCTCTCTCTCTTTCCGCGGAGAGGGGCACATGACACCAACAGCACGCAGACAGACGCTGCTACGCACCACCATTGGTGCGACATGTATTGCTGTACGCCTCTCTACACTTGTGTGCGCGAAGGCCTAGTGTGCGACCAGTGCCTCCCGTGCTAGCCTGGTTACCCATCACACGCTTCAAAGCTCAAAGCTTGAGATTTCTCGATCCAAGCTCGAACCAACAAGCGAAGCACAACAGCAGAGACATTTTTTTGGCTTTAGTAGTTTTTTTTAAGAGAGGTTTGTTTTTCAAAAAATAATGTTTATAGGGGGGGGGGGAACAAGATTAAGTAAGTCCGTCCGTCTGTCTGTCTGTCTGTCTGTCTGTCTGTCTGTCTGTCTGTTGTTGTTGTTGTT